ACGTTAATGAGAGATTAAAAATGTGAAACAATAAGGGTTCAATAATATCAAAGACTGATTTTACTAAATTGACGCTAATTTTAGCTATATGTCTGCACTTTTGTTATTTTTCAGAGTGAAAAAAGCATTACGCAATTCACTTATATTTAAGTTTAGTTCTGTCATAATATTATTTGCTGTTTTGAGGTAAGTTTCAAATTTTATGGTACTTGATAGAATTTTAGCCGCCAGATTTGGACCAATCTCAAAAAAAAAACTGTTTAGGTTTTTAGCTATGGTTTCTTTATCATAAAGAAGTGTTTCATCAATTAACAGTTTTTGTGGCAAATTGTTTTTAATCGATATATTTTTACCAATTATTTCTTTGATTCCAAGTTTTTTTTGTATTTCCATTAGTTTTTTCTAATAGCTTTTCATAATAAGATTTTTTTGAAAGTGTTTTGGTTTTTTCAAACAAACTTTTGTAGTTTTTGTATATTATTTCATAATGATATGTTTTATGTCTTAGGTATTTTTCATATAACTTTTGTTTTTTCTTTGATGATTTGATTAAACCGTGTCATCCACGGATTCAAAATAGTCTTAGAATTTTGTTTAATTAAAGGGAATGCCTAATTATATTGTTTACTGAAAAACGCGAGAAATAATTCGTAAGCATTATTCGCATTTTGTGTTTTATACACTAAGTTTCAATCAACAGAATTTTTTAATAGGTGGCAAAAATGTGCTAAGGAGTTTTTATTTGACGTACCAACATTTTTGATTTAAGGGAATTGTTTTTTAAAGTTATCATTTTAGTGGTTAGAAAGATAGGGAAATGATCACTTAATTTTATATAAAATTAAAGCCTTTGTTTTAATTATGCCTGTATACCTGTGTTTGTATACCTGTAATTATGCCTGTATACCTTTGTTTTAATTATGCCTGCAGCAATTGTGAAAATTGTTTGTTGTTAAATTATCGACTATCGTTGACGATGTCTTTGTTATTCTTGTTGCCTTATTTATTGTTGGAATAAAATTATATTGAAAATGGTGTCAATAAAGCATTTAGCATCATTTTTCGATGCATAATTTAAAATGGTTATGTTGAAGTCTCCAACTAAGTATTCATGTTTCCGATTTTTACTGGTTTTAGTTAAAAAAAATTTGATGTGAGCTTGGAAATTTTTTAAGTTCTCAGCTGGTTATAAATAGAGTTAACGAAATTGTTTTTATCCTTATTATTTATTATTTCAAAGCGTAACAACTCACAATCTGTTTCATTCACGCAAAGATCATTACGCTCAATAAAATTTAATGAGTCGTGAATTGACTCACCCCACCACCAGCATGTTTTTGACGCGATTGATGAACTGATGCGTAATTGGCTAATTCAAAACGTGCGTTTTTTTCATTGTTTTTAAGCCACGTTTCTGTAAGGCAGATAATTTTTTTAAATCGTGTTTGAGGTTATGAAGTAAGATTTTAAAGTTTTCAAAGTTTTTACTCATACTCCAAATGTTCAGAGTTAAAATCGAGAAAGCATTATTGTTCTAAGAAAGAAAAAGAGTAGATTCAGAAATTGAAAAATACTCAGTTTCAAAGCTTTTTTCTCAAAAAAAATTTCATTGCCATTTAGCTTTTAGTCATTATTATTTAGCTGTAAATCTTCGTAGTTAAATTTTGTAGAAAAGTTGTCCTCCATTTTAAAACATAAAACTTAAATCAAAAAAAGAAAATTTAAAATAAAACAAAGACAGAACAAAGTAATATATATATATATATATATATATATATATATATATATATATATATATATATATATATATATATATATATATATATATATATATATATATATATATATATATGTATATATATATATATATATATATATATATATATATATATATATATATATATATATATGTGTGTGTGTACATGAATAAAAAAGAGTTAAAATATAACGAACCTACTTCTTTTTTCGATTTGAGTATGATCAATCTATCATACGATAGGACAACGATACGGACAAAAGTCCTCATTGATAAAAATATTTTTTTCCTTTCAGTTGAAAAGATTTTAGACACAGGGACTAAAAGGTTTCATTATGTGTTTTTTTTCGTATTTGTAATTATTAAAACAAAGGTGTAGCAGCAGCTTCAAACGCCATTGCGAAATGAAATAATTTTTTTAGGGTTAAAAAATTTATTTTTAAACCCCAAAAAATTTTCGTAGAACTTAGAGACTCGAAATGCCAAAAAAAAAGTGATTTTCCGCTAAATGGTTTAGATTTTTTTAAATTTTTCAGATTTTTGGTTTAGCAAGAGTTATATAAGCACAAGTTAGTTCATTTTGAATAATGAGAAATTAAAATTTCGATTCATCAATTTAATTAATATTACATATTTATGCACTTAAATTAGCCAATGCCAATTATGTGTATAGTCTAACGTATTGCACCTTCTAACATCGTGTGCAATCCTGTCTGCTTTCTCTATGCTATCTTTCTAACTCGAATACTTCTATCTTTAGCTCTAATAAATCTTTGTTCTTCCTAAATTCACTTTACTCCCGGTCCGTAGAGCAGGTGATGACGCTCCTTGGGGAGCCAAATTTATCTTTGCGGGCCAAGGATAATGTGGCCTCTGTATGGCAACTAGCCGGAGGAGGATAAACCACAATACCCATTATTAAATTTATCCTCGGGGAAACCTCTATCACGATTTTAACTCACTCGCGAATTGCTTCCAGAGTCGTACATTATTTATTTAATCTAAGTAATAGTATGGATTGCACATTCTAACGTCCAGTGCAATTATCTGTCCGCTTTCTTTATGCTATCTTTCTAACTGGACTTTTTTTGACTTTCATTATAATTTTCTTCGTTCTTCCGAAACTCACTTACTCTTAGTCAGCGGATCAGGTGATGATACTCTTTAGTGAGCTGAACGTGTCTTTGCTGGCCTGGGTATGTGGCCTCTATAAATTTATCTATTTAATAAAATTAATCAAACATATACAAAATGTTATTATATTTAAAATAATATTTAATATAATAAAATAAATTATATTTAAAACTGATTTTTTTGTTGTTGTAAATAATAATACAAACTCAATGAATTTCAAAAAGTTTTCTTTTAAAAAGTTACTATTTTTTTAAACGTTTTTATTTTTTTGAGATTTTTTTATTTCAAAACTTTGGTATTGTGGTCTATCCTCCTGCCATATAGAGGTTACATACCAAGCCCTGCGATGTCAACTTTTTTTTAAAAAAAACTATTTAGTGAAATGATAAATACCATTATACTTTTTTTTATTACGAGTTGGAAATTATTTTTTTACCGCATTAAGTTTTAAAGTTAACATCTATTCCATGCTTATTAGTAGCATAAAAAATACTATCAAATTAAAAAAAAAAATTAGAAAAAAGCTTAGAAGCATGATAATTATACAAAAATATATACATTTTAGAAAAGTTGAATGTTTAAGCTATAAAATGGTATATAATAATGTCATTTTTGATAATGTATTTTTTTTACTTTTGTCCACCACCTGGCCCACTTTGCGCTTTCGAAATACTGTTTTTTTTTCTATCAGCAAATTTAGAAATAATTATGATACATTAAATTATATGGTTTATAATTGTCTTTTTTAATACAACGCGCTGTTCTAAGCATGTGTCTGATTAAAACATGATATTTTACGTTTTAAACTCCAGAAAAATACCACATTATTATATTAAGAAAATAAGATAAGTATATAAAATCATTTTTAATTATTTTATGGTTTTTGTAAATGTTTCTACTCAACGCATTTATCTATCCAGGTGTTCGAATAAAGTATTTAAATGGAGAATCTTTTTATATTTTTTTATCAACTCAAGATAGTAATAGAATTTAGGAATGAACACCGCAAGAGATAAGAAATATTCGTTTAGAAAATTAAAGGTAACTAATGTTAATTATTATAAAACAGTTATTATTGTAATATGCCGTAAAGTACTCTTCTGTAAACAATTTTACCAAATATAGTACCAAGTTTTAAGTAACCAGTTAAAGCTTTACTCTCTCTATATTTTTTGTACCTTTTAAAATTTTATATTTAAAATTCTTAACTATTCACCTATTTATAGAAACTATGTTTAGGATTAGTTACAAAAATCAATTTAAAAATATTGTAGTGACAAACTTTTTAGACAAAACGTAATAATTAACAAATTTTTTTCAATACTTTGTATAAGAAACGAATTACAAATTTATAAATAATCGATCTCTTTATAAACAAATCTACTAAATAAGTGCCTCTTTTACAAAATAAAAGTTTGAATTACAATTTTATTATTTTTGAATAACATTAGTGCCAATTTATTTGTATTAAGCAAAAGAATATAGTTCAAAAGAAAAACTTGATTTTCGATTAGCCTGTTTAAATTTTTTCTTTATTAAATCAATAAAAATTGGTTTTTGTTATTTAAAATAGACTACAAATTTGTGAAAAAATATTTTGACTGAAATTAATTTTTAATTGACAAAAAATTTTTTAAAGACTTAATTACATTGTTTTTACTCCGAAATTTTTTTTTATTTTGCTAGATCCAAAAATCGCTAAATGAAATTTTTTTGAATACCATGTAAAAATAGATTTTAACTCTTTACCAAAATTTACAATATTGCAAAAATACTTCATCAGCTATAACTTGAAAAAGTGATTTTTTTAATATGGCGTTTTATTTTATTTAACGCTGTTGCTCGGCTTTGATTTTTTTCTTAAAGTCGCGGTAGTAATTTTTGATTGGTTGATTTTTTTTTTCTTCTAATTAAATATGGATGCCCAAACCAAAACCCTTTTTTGATGTGTGTGCACTCCACTGCGCCTATCCCTAAATCAGTCGATGTATATGCGCTCCACTTAGCCTATCCCTAAATTAGTCGATGTATGTACGCTCACTGCGCCTATCCCTAAATTAGTCGATGTATGTACACCCACTGCGCCTATCCCTATATCAGTCGATGTATGTAAATAATAAAAATCAATTTAACTTTCAATATACAACAATAATAACTTTTAATAAAAAATAGTTTAAAAACATTCGAAAACGTTTTTCTAAGCGAAGGGAGTTAAACCAATGAGATACCACAATGCTTGCAATGAGATATAACAATGCACAATACAGTATTTTGTAGAAGCTTGTTTATTTATTCGATATGCAAAAGCCACCGGGTCCAGTAGTTCATCCCAGTCGTTTGCTTCGTTGTTTACGAGCTTCATTAAATGGGTAATCAATGTTTGGTTAAACCTATTGTGCAGAATAAATAAATAAACTATAGTAAGTAACTGTTGTATTGCTAATACTTAATGCTAATAATTAATGCCCTTTTTTTAAACTAAAAAAAAATTTTAAAGTTAATATTCAAAACTGTACAAAGATAAAGAAGAGTATAACCATTTATCACCTTTCTGTCAGTCCATTAGTCTGAGGATGATATGCTGATGTTTTGGCGGATTCCATGTTTAATATCAATAAAAGATCTTCCACAAGCTTGTTACAAAACTCGGGTCCTTGGTCGCGAAGTAGAATGTTGCAAGCCCCAAATCTGAATACCAGACGGAGAATGAAACAATGAACAGATCTGCATCTTTTTCTGCTATGGAATCACCTTCAGCCCATCTAGTCAGGTATTCTGTTGCTACTACAATATACTTCTTTCCGTTCTTAGTTTTTTTTAAAGAACCAATTAGATCTATTCCCCAACGGTAAAAAATTTCATGTACTGGGATTGGATAGAGCGTCGCATGTGATGGTTTGTTGCTAGGATCCGCACGTTGACATTTAGGGCAGGATGCTATAAATTTGCGTATGTCTATTGAAATCGACTTCCACCAATACCTATCAGTTGCTTTTTTGATAGTGGCGTTTTGCTCAAAGTGACACCCTCCAACTATGTTGCTGTGGAGAGTTTGTATTATACAATTTCGTTCATCTTCTCCAGTTACCACGCGTTGTAGTTTTTTTTTCATTTCCAACGTGAAATAATTCTCCATGAACCAACCGGAAGGATTTTGCTTTCTTTTGAAGTTTTCTCTTATTGTCTTTCTTATATTTAGATGGAAATTCATTTTTCCCAAGATATATTAGCAGAGCTTCGCGCTCTTCTTTTTCCATATTTTTGTTTAAAATAACTAATTTAACTAAATAGAATAAAAACATATTTACAAACATGCAATATTTGTATGTTTGTACTTTTATATAACTAGTTGAATAATAAACATTCGAAAATATTCTTGTTCGTTACTGAAAATAACTATAATAAATATAAAATGAAAGTTTTTTCATAAAAATGTTTTTTCATAAATATAAAATGAAAGTTTTTTCATAAAAATGATTTGCAATTTATAAAATTATTTAATTAATAATAACAAAAACTTATACAGATTTTAATAACATAATCATAAACAACACACACACAAATTCGAAAACTAAAGAGCTTTTCAAAACATTCAAAAACGTTCTAAACTTGCATGGAAAAACCGCGTAAAAAAACTTTGTCTGATACTTATTTTTTATGATTGATGCGTTTGATTCAAGTAAAACTTAATTTTTTTAATATACAATTATTTAGTTAATTTAGTATTTAAACCGAATTTAGCATTTAAAATTTAGATCATTTATTTGCGTCTTTAGTGAAAAAAACCGTGTAAAAAAACTTTATCTGACATCTTTTTATGATTGATGCGTTTGATTCAAGTAAAACTTAATTTTTTTAATATACAATCATTTATTTAATTTAGTATTTAAACCGAATTTAGCATTTAAAATTTGGACCATTTTATTTGCGCAAGTCATATCAATTTGTATATTTAAGTATTTAGGGGAACTAATGTCACGGAGGAAGCTTTATTTCGCAGATAGGGGAAAAGATATTACGAGGGGGGAAATATTATTTCGAAATGAATTTTCCCCCCGGAAAGAATATTTTGGCCGGGGGGAAATTCTATAATGGGAACATTTTATTTAATTCTATAATGGGGAACAAATTAATTTCAGAATTATTTGCTGGTACTTCTGGCAATTACCACTTGCCATTAAAAAACAGCCAAAAATTGAATAATTGTTATGAGAAATGTTAATTAAAAATTTAAAACTTGATTTTTTTACTTGTGGTTAAAACATGGCGATCTATACTGAAGGCCTATTCATCGCGCAACCGTAAGCCGTAACTGGGGGCCTATTATTTTTTTCCAATTTAAAGTTTTTTAACAACTCTGCTTTAATAATTTATAATCTTGATTCGAAATATCATTTTTTAATAAATTTAATTAGTCAATATAAGAATACTTATAAATGAAAAAAGCAACAATGAGTTCTCATTTTTTATTTAATGAAAAAGAAAAGTTAAAAACAAAGAAAATAGTCTCAATAGTCTTATCTCAAACAATATCAAATACACATTGTTTTTTTCTAAATAAATTTATGACAACTTTATTTAGACCTCGGTGTAATTTGTGCACAATAATTGTTTAAAAAAATATTAGCAAGTGTGTTACAATAAGTGTGTTTAATTTCAAAAAAATAAAATTCTGAAACTAACAAAAAGATATCACTCAAGGACTGCCGACATACTTTATCTTTAATAGAGTGAAACAAAATAAAACAAAAAAAGACCCATTGGCATACATTGTCTAGTGAAATTTTAAGACCACCACGATCTATAGAATTAAGGTAGCCACCAAACTTTTCATAATAAAGCATTGTTTGTTCGAACAAGTTACTTTCATTGTATTCATTTCTACATACATAACCAGCAATATATATCAAAGACATTTTGGTGGAATCAGGTATTGATGATTCTAGTTTTTCTAAATTGTCAAATATTTCACTACCTGCCTCACATAAGACATATGTGCAAGAGGGGCAATTATGACCCGAAGATAAATCAAAATAATCTATGTCAACATTTAGAGATAATAACAGCGATGTGTGATTTATATGCAATTTTTCTATAATTTGTTGAAAACTTTATGAAATAGGTACCTCCACAACCTTGTCTTAATTTCCCAAAATCTTTTTCTAAATGGTCACTTGTAAACATACCAAGAAGAACATAATCATGACTAGTTTCTAATAAGTGTTTACACAGTTCAACGGCGCCATAACAAGTATGGTGAATTGCTTTTGCAGTATCATTAGATAACTGCCCAACTCTTGTGCCTTTTTTACAGCACATTTCAATTGCCATATCACCAAACTGGAGAAGAGTATTAAGGCGGTAATCATCACGACTACAAATTGGTGCTTCTAAAGGCTCATTGTGTCTCACATCAGCTCCATGACCTTTTACGTTCAAAATTTTCCACCAAGTTGTTACTTTTTTTATAAAAATTGCAGTATCTTTTGAGTTTGAATTTATTTGAGAATGACTCAGTAAGGCATGATATGTTTTATCTGAAAAAACTCTAAGACAAGTAGAAACACTTTGCCTATCTATTGGCTTTGGAGCTATTGCAACTTCATTTAAGTCTGATAATTTGACTAACTTTTCTGATTCTAATTTATATAAGCATTTAAGGTGTTCCCACTTGGCTGTTCTTTGAACACCATTATCATTGTACAGTAGTTCCCCAGCTTTTTCTGTAAGCCATAGATTTCTAATGTTTTTCAAAAGGTGAACAAAGTCAAACAGTAAATACATCCCATCCTCTGTTTTCCAAGGCTTTCCTGGAATAGTACGATATAATCTAAAAAAAGCTTGATTTACACGATTACCATCACATATAACAACTTTGACATCACCAGCAGATGCTTTTATAAGTCTTACTGTGGAGTTTATTTGTTCAAACAGAAAGCTTGAGTTTAATTTTGAAATTGGTATCATCTTATATAGAAATTTAGGACCACCTTTAAGACAAACAACCATAATTCCCAACACAGTTTTAGCTAATAACGAAGGATCATCTAAAGATTTACCGAATAATGTTCCACCATGGTACAGCAACATCTTTTTCACATATACTTCATCATGAATAACTATACAAATTCTCTTTTTTTCTTCAATGCTATTAAATACTGAGTTCAAAAAACTGGCATCATCAATTTTAGAAACTTTTGATGTAATACGTGTCAAAGTACTAATTGAAGGCAATTGAAAATCATGTCTTAATTGATTATATAAAACACGAGATGTTGAAAAATATTCGAAACTACGTATAACTACATCTGAGTCATATATTTTGTTTCCAATAAGTTTCGCAGACATAACTGAGATTTGTTGTTGAATAACCTTATTCTTATGATCTGTCTCCATGACGTTTAAAAAATGTATAATTTCCTCAAACTTTGACCAGGAATCAACAATAGTTATACGATTTCTAGATAAACTTTTTATAAAACATTTTACTCCTGAATGGAAAGTTTCAAAATGCAAATTCTCAAAAATTTTAACAAGAAATTGAGGAATACCATTATTAAATATAACAGATTGAATAGTAATTGTTTTTCCAACCATATATGTTACCAATGGAAATGAAAATGTTCTGAGATTATTTAATAAAACATCTTTAAAATCATTATATGTTGCCATATCAGCAAGTGAAAAAGTGCTGAGTTCATCAGTTCCAACATTTCGAAAATGACTTAAAGATTTCTGGGTTGTTCGCAGACGTGGTAATGGAGTAGGTATTTGACTTATAGGTATTCCAGGCCATACAGATGGTGGAATCTTTGGTCGTTGTTTTCCATGTACAGTAACTGTTTCAAAACATGTTGGCCAATGCAATTGGCAAATAACAGTTTCATCTGTAACTAAAAGATTCGAATTTGGAATACTTTGAATCCAAATATTTCTTTGTTCTTTATCTTTAGGAAATCGATAAACTGGTACTTTTTCAAAGCTTTCATTATTTTTGGTGCTTTGATAGTTTGTTTTGCAGCCATATACACAACACTTTTTAGGCATCTGAAAGTATAAGTCATTGTAGAGATTATAAAAGTAAGCAATTAATAACATAAGGTGATTCAACTATAATAGATTATCAGCCAAAATGAAGACATAAATAATGTAACTCTTTTACTAACTTTTTAACTCCTAACATTGTTAAGAATTAAAAAGTTGAGAGCAAAAATACAGATTAAAATTATTTAATAAAATTTATAACATAAAAACCATTAAATTAAAAACCACAAATATTTGATGATTAAAAAAAGAATAAAAAATATTAATTTTAAAATTCTCTAGAAAGCTTTACAACGTGCATGCTTTTAATCTACGCATTTTTATACAGACTATTATAGGCCCCCAGTTACGGCTTACGGTTGCGCGATGAATAGGCCTTCAGTATAGATCGCCATGGGTTAAAAACATGTGCGGTTTTTAATTAAAAAAAAAAAATTTATTAAATTTTTTTTTTGTGCTTTCTTTTTTGTTTAAATTCTGTGATTTTCAATTTTTTTTTTACAAACTTTTACAAAAATTAAATCGTAATATATAAAAACTTTTATTTACGATGAACTATAGTTGCGCTTGTTTAGAGTAACACGCTTACGATGTCGTTTTAAGAGACGTCCCCATTCGGGTATTAGGCACCAAAAAGCTTAAACATTTTTTTAGACTTTATACCAATTTATAGAAAAAAACAAAAAAAAACTCTCCATTTAGTGAAAAGAAATTACATTATTATATGGATTTTTGGTACCAAATAATCATAACGTTTACTAAATAGGTTTTTTAAAAAAAATTTCAAAACGCAAATACACAAGAAGAGCAAATATAAAAAAAATATGATTACAAAAATAATTTATGCAAAAAAAAAAAAAAAAAACTTATTTTTTTGCGAAATCCTTTTTTTACTTTAGACAAAAAAAACTAGTATACATAACAATCTAAAAAAAAAGAAACCATTATGATTACATTAGAAAATAAAATTTTACAAAATATTGATTATTTACCTTGCGCTCAAAGCCAAATAATTTAGGAACAATTTTAGGGCATTTTCCGGGGTATTTTGCCGTTTGAGCACAAGGTAAATATCAATATTTTTGGAATTTTTTTTGTAATCGAATTTTTTTTTGTATATTTGCTCCAAATTTGGTTTGTTATGTATTCGGGTTTTGAAAACTATATATTTTTTGAACACCCCTATTATTTAAGACCTCAGAGTAATCTTAACTTTTCAACTAGCATAAAATCACAATCAATAATAAAAATAGGGTAGGAGGAAATGTTGAGTACCCCACATATATTAATATATAATTTCCGTGTATAATTATTTGTTTAAGTATAGTGTTATTCATAATTATATATTGTACAAATAAGCACACAATTTAAAAAGTAGTTTTGAAAAACCAATCCAATTGTAGTTTATGTTTAATAATATTCAACTTCAGTGACACATTATGAAAAAATAAAAATAAAATATCTGTTGAGGTTTTTACTATCTTTAATACTAGTACACCTACAAAACATTTTTTTAACAAAATACATTACAAGTTATTCATCTTATTAATAAAACTTTATATTATCAGCAGCAAAACTAGTTTTCTTTATCATGGTACAGATGTTGTTATAAAAAGAAAATTTGTCATGAAATGCTGTGAATATCAATAGTTTAGTATTTGTAATATATTACAGAAATACAGGTATCCATTATGCATAAATCGGGTCTTTTGACCCATTTTTTAAAACCCATTTTGAGCAGATATTTAGAAATTTTTTCAAGTCATGTATGAATATAACAGATTTGTTTTAATAATTAGGCAAGTATTTCTAATCCACAAAAAGATGCAGAAAAAAATTGTGCAAGTAGAGAAGACCCAGACGGGTTTCAATTATATTCAATCAATTCAATTATTGGTAAGGAGATTTTATTGGAGATTTTATTATTATTTTATAAGTTTTTAAAAAATTTTAGTTCAGAAACTATTGAACAAAATAATTTAAACAAAGTTTTAACATTTTAATATGGTCAAATTACTATTTAGTAAAAAGATAAAATGTCATAAACAATTTTTATATCAAAAAAACTCATAATCGCAATCGCCATATTATGAAATAGATTACTAAATCATTTAACAAATACTTTATTTAGGTCAAGGAGTTTTTACTACAAAGTCATTTGCTAAGGGTGATTTCTTGTTAGAGTATAGAGGGGAATTAATTAGTAATGAAGAGGGATGGAACAGACAAGAAAAGTACAAAGTTGAAAAAGGTTGCTTTATTTACTTCTTTGAGCATAGCAACCCTGGAGAAACATCAAAGAAAAAATTTTGGTAAGGAGATAATGGAAATATTTTTTTATTATTTTTAATTTATTAAAAAGGTTTAAAAAATAAAATAAAAACAATATTACTAAAAAAAAAGAAGAAAAAAGATCTAACTTTAATTTTTCCATTCTTTATCTATTTGATTAGTATTAATGTTTAAACTTATATTACTTAAGCATTGACGCTACAGAGGATTCTCATCTAGCCAGATACATCAACGACTCAAAAAAATATCCCAACTGTAAAATGAAAAAAGTGGTTGTAGATGGGCACCCGCATTTATGCTTATTTGCAATATCAAACATTGAAATCGGAACGGAACTGAGATATGATTATAAAGATGATGGCAAACTATGGTGGAGAAACAATGTAAAAACAAAAAATTATATATTTTTCTGAATAAGTAAATTACTGATAAAATTAAATGACAACTAAAAAAACCCAAATTAAAAATACATGTCATTTACCGTAAGTTTATATATTTGCAATATTATTTCTTTTTATTAGAAAGAGTATAAAACACCTTATCGATTATCTGAAATTAATGAAGAAAAGAGCAAGCAAAATATACTTAAAAATGTGAGGAAGCTATAATTTCCTTAATATTAAAATTTTGTTAAAATTAAAATTTTAATGAAATTTAACTATAAAATAATTTTCATCTTATGTGTAATAATATTTTTCTTTTAATGATAGGCTGTAAATCCAAGTAGTAATACAGTTCAAAAGAGAGAATTTTTTTCAAACAAACAAATTTTGAAAGATAAAATAAACACCTTGCCTGCATCTATTGAAGAAAAAATAAAAACGTCTGAGAAGTATTATTTTATTGATATTGCAGCACAAAAACTAATTTCAAAACATTCATCATATATAAACTAGTATAAATAAAAAAAAATAAAACAAGTGACAAATGGTGAAAATATTTTTAACATATACAATATTTTTCTAATTTAGTAATCTGATTTACCTTAGACCACAAGATTCAAATAAATTTGTCTCAGAAATCAATTCATTTCCAGCAGGTATTAAATTTTTCAATATAGCATTAGACCAAGCTTTATAAAAAAAAACAACATATATATATATATATATATATATATATATATATATATATATATATATATATATATATATATATATATATATATATATAATATATATATATATATATATATATATAAATATATATATATATATATAAATATATATATATATATAAATATATATATATATATATATAAATATGTATATATATATATATATATGTGTATATATATATATATATATATATATATATATATATATATATATATATATATATATATATATATATAAACATATATGAGAAAGACGATGCATTAAAATAAAAACCTAGTTAAACTTATAAAATAAAACTAATAACTGTAATATTAATAAATCAATGATTGGCTTAATACCAAATATGTTTTGTAAATTTTTAAAGAAATCAATAAAAATTGAATTTATTTTGTAAGCATCATTTTTCTGACTATTTGAAATTTTTTATAGATGATAATCAAATAACAAACAAAATACACATACTAGAATGCGAAAAAGACACTAGGTATGTTATAAAAGAGAGAGACAAAATTTAAAATTGAGTTTTTATATGTTTTATGTTTTTAGTTAATATCTAATCTATATATTATATTTTTCTAATTTAATAATCTGATTTACCTTAGACCACAAGATTTAAATATATTTGTCTCAGAAATCAATTCATTTCCAGCAGGTATTAAACTTTTTAATATAACATTAGACCAAGCTTTATAAAAAAAAAACATATATATGTATATATATATATATATATATGTATATATATATATATATATATGTATGTATATATATATATATATATATATATATATATATATATATATATATATATATATATATATATATATATATATAAACATATATGAGAAAGATGATGCATTGAAATAAAATCCTAGTTAAACTTATAAAATAAAACTAATAACTGTAATATTAATAAATCAATGATTGGTTTAATACCAAATATGTTTTGTAAATTTTTAAAGAAATCAATAAAAATTGAATTTATTTTGTAAGCATCATTTTTCTGACGTATTGAAATTTTTTATAGATGATAATCAAATAACAAACAAAATACACATACTAGAATGCGAAAAAGACACTAGGTATGTTATAAAAGAGAGAGACAAAAATTAAAATTGAGTTTTTATATGTTTTATGTTTTTAGTTAATATCTAATCTATATATTATATTTTTCTAATTTAATAATCTGATTTACCTTAGACCACAAGATTTAAATATATTTGTCTCAGAAATCAATTCATTTCCAGCAGGTATTAAACTTTTCAATATAACATTAGACCAAGCTTTATAAAAAAAAAACATATATATATATATATATATATATATATATATATATATATATATATATATATATATATATATATATATATATAAACATATATGAGAAAGATGATGCATTGAAATAAAATCCTAGTTAAACTTATAAAATAAAACTAATAACTGTAATATTAATAAATCAATGATTGGTTTAATACCAAATATGTTTTGTAAATTTTTAAAGAAATCAATAAAAATTGAATTTATTTTGTAAGCATCATTTTTCTGACTAATTGAAATTTTTTTAATACCAAATATGTTTTGTAAATTTTTAAAGAAATCAATAAAAATTGAATTTATTTTGTAAGCATCATTTTTCTGACTAATTGAAATTTTTTATAGATGATAATCAAATAACAAACAAAATACACATACTAGAATGCGAAAAAGACACTAGGTATGTTATAAAAGAGAGAGACAAAATTTAAAATTGAGTTTTTATATGTTTTATGTTTTTAGTTAATATCTAATCTATATATTATATTTTTCTAATTTAATAATCTAATTTACCTTAGACCACAAGATTTAAATATATTTGTCTCAGAAATCAATTCATTTCCAGCAGGTATTAAACTTTTCAATATAACATTAGACCAAGCTTTAAAAAAAACATATATATATATATATATATAAACATATATGAGAAAGATGATGCATTGAAATAAAATCCTAGTTAAACTTATAAAATAAAACTAATAACTGTAATATTAATAAATCAATGATTGGTTTAATACCAAATATGTTTTGTAAATTTTTAAAAAAATCAATAAAAAATAGAATTTATTTTGTAAGCATCATTTTTCTGACTAATTGAAATTTTTTATAGATGATAATCAAATAACAAACAAAATACACATACTAGAATGCGAAAAAGACACTAGGTATGTTATAAAAGAGAGAGACAAAATTTAAAATTGAGTTTTTATATGTTTTATGTTTTTAGTTAATATCTAATCTATATATTATATTTTTCTAATTTAATAATCTGATTTACCTTAGACCACAAGATTTAAATATATTTGTCTCAGAAATCAATTCATTTCCAGCAGGTATTAAACTTTTCAATATAACATTAGACCAAGCTTTATAAAAAAAAAACATATATATATATATATATATATATATATATATATATATATATATATATATATATATATATATATAAACATATATGAGAAAGATGATGCATTGAAATAAAATCCTAGTTAAACTTATAAAATAAAACTAATAACTGTAATATTAATAAATCAATGATTGGTTTAATACCAAATATGTTTTGTAAATTTTTAAAGAAATCAATAAAAATTGAATTTATTTTGTAAGCATCATTTTTCTGACTAATTGAAATTTTTTTAATACCAAATATGTTTTGTAAATTTTTAAAGAAATCAATAAAAATTGAATTTATTTTGTAAGCATCATTTTTCTGACTAATTGAAATTTTTTATAGATGATAATCAAATAACAAACAAAATACACATACTAGAATGCGAAAAAGACACTAGGTATGTTATAAAAGAGAGAGACAAAATTTAAAATTGAGTTTTTATATGTTTTATGTTTTTAGTTAATATCTAATCTATATATTATATTTTTCTAATTTAATAATCTAATTTACCTTAGACCACAAGATTTAAATATATTTGTCTCAGAAATCAATTCATTTCCAGCAGGTATTAAACTTTTCAATATAACATTAGACCAAGCTTTAAAAAAAACATATATATATATATATATATAAACATATATGAGAAAGATGATGCATTGAAATAAAATCCTAGTTAAACTTATAAAATAAAACTAATAACTGTAATATTAATAAATCAATGATTGGTTTAATACCAAATATGTTTTGTAAATTTTTAAAAAAATCAATAAAAAATAGAATTTATTTTGTAAGCATCATTTTTCTGACTAATTGAAATTTTTTATAGATGATAATCAAATAACAAACAAAATACACATACTAGAATGCGAAAAAGACACTAGGTATGTTATAAAAGAGAGAGACAAAATTTAAAATTGAGTTTTTATATGTTTTATGTTTTTAGTTAATATCTAATCTATATATTATATTTTTCTAATTTAATAATCTGATTTACCTTAGACAACAAGATTTAAATATATTTGTCTCAAAAATCAATTCATTTCCAGCAGGTATTAAAATTTTTTAATATAACATTAAACCAAGCTTTATAAAAAAAACAACATATATATATATATATATATATATATATATATATATATATATATATATATATATATATATATATATATATATATATATATATATATATATATAAACATATATGAGAAAGACGATGCATTGAAATAAAAACCTAGTTAAACTTATAAAATAAAACTAATAACTGTAATATTAATAAATCAATGATTGGCTTCACACCAAATATATTTTGCAAATTTTTAAAGACATCAATAAAAAATTGAATTCATTTTGTAAGCATCATTTTTCTGACTATTTGAAATTTTTTATAGATGATAATCAAAAAACAAACAACATACACATACTAGAATGCGAAAAAGACACTAGGTATGTTATAAAATTTATGCAAATAATTGAGTTAGCATGGGTATGACAAGTCTATTTTTATTTATTAATCTTTAACTACTTAGACATGTTACAGATGCATTTTATTATGTATTGTTTAGTATGCATGCTAAAGTCATAAAACATGATGAGCTAACTGTTCTTCCAGTGAAAGGAGATGGACACTGCATAATTAATTCTGTTTTAGCCTGCATAAAATTTTCGCATTTGTGCGATGATCCAACGTTTACAAAGAATTATTTATTAAGTGAAATAAGAAAAAATATACTTATGAACTTAGAATATTATGGGATGTTTCTTAATTCCAGAAATATAGATCCAATAAATGAAATAGATTCATATATCAATATGGGTTTATATGACAGTTCAACAAGTGACTTAATACCAAACATAATTTGCAACATACTGCAATGCCAAATTCTTATTTTGGAACTTAACCATGTTACAGAAAGTTATGAACTTGAAAAATCACACATATTAAATCCAACTGACCCAACAAGTGGGAGCTGTTTAAAACCTAATTTTACTTTGATGCTTAAAAGAGATCAATCAAAAAATCATTATGATGGATTAATATACACCAAACAATACAAAGGTTTGAAATAAAATTCTAATGATTATGATGCTTGTTTATATGCTTTTAATTTATAATTGAGAATATTTTTTTTGTTAATTTTTTAGCTCATGGAAAACAAATAAAAAATGAGGAAAACCCAGTTTTTATAGAAGATATAAACACGAAATTGATGGAAAATTCTTTAGAGTAAGAATAACATTCTAAAATTTTTATTATACACTTTTCAAAACTGAATTTTTAATATAAAACTTGTTTAACTTCAAAAATAAACTTTTATATTATTTTTATCTTAGTGGCTGTAATAATGTTATTGACTTTACACCACAACTTTCAACCCTTTTCACAGCAACCAGTTCATTTCACACAGGTATTAAATATTATCAAATGAAAGCAAACCAAAAATTGTCAAAAATAATTTATATATTTTATATAAGAAGTATATTATATAGAAATAAAATTATTTTATATACAACGATAAAATAATTTGTAAATAATAAATAGATCCTTTTTGCATCATTGATTAACTTTTTATAACTAAAGGCTATATAAGTCTAAACTGTCAACTCAATTTTTTAACTTTTGATTTATTTTTCACATAAAACAAATCTTAATATTAATTTAAACTAGCAGTAAGCAACCCTTAATACGCGTTGTTAGTAAATAAAATTAAAAAAAAAACAGCGTATAGAAAAGCCTAGAAACTACTTTAAAATAGAAAAGCCTAGAAAATGACATAACTCGACTAATATTAAATTAGCGTATACATATTATCAGATTAGCAATTAACCTTTGAGTTTTACCTAAAGTCAAATAAAAAATTAAAAGATCCTGAGAGATGTGATGGGTACCCAGCAATTTTTTTGCGTACTAAGTACCTGGTAATTTTAGACACCTTTTTTTTTGGGTTTCCAGGCACCTTTAAAAATTACCAAGCACCTTTGATAATTGCAAGGTAAAATAACACAAATAATAAACCAGGTACCCAGCACATCATTAAAATTTTTTCTCATATTGGAAACATGAAAATGCAACTAAAAAAAGAAACAGTGATGTGAACATAGAATTTTATTTTGTTAATATCATTTTTTATTAATATTAATTTTTTTTTTTTAGGCGATTCTCAAACTAACAATACACACACATCAGATTGTGATATTGACTTTAGGTGTGTTATAAAACTAGTTATTGTATTTACATACATAATAATAATAGTAATTTTTTTATTAACAACTTTCATGTGAGTGTGTATTGTCTATAAATGTGAAATGTGTTGATTTTAATTAGTTTTATTCTTGTTAAAACTATTGTAACTATCAACAAAAAATAAAGTTTTCAAATTAAATTAAAATCATCAGCTTGTAAAATATTATAATAATTTTTAATCTTTATAGTTTATACTAGATGTCATCTTTCAAATATATATATATATATATATATATATATATATATATATATATATATATATATATATATATATATATATATATATATATATATATTGCATTACTTTACAGATTACATCACAAGGAAATGAATACACACAAAAAAAAAATATACAAGCCAAGAAAATACAAGTCATGCCCTTTATGCGAGAAGCGTGTAAAAGATATACCAAAGCATATGAGGCAAGTACATTCATACTCCGTTAGCAGTGCTGCATCAACTACAGGACAATATGGATTAAGAGAAAAGATTGAAAAAAAAAGTGAAAAAAAAGATTACCATTGCTACAGACAATGCCCTGTGGATAAATGTTATAAGGTTGTGCTGCACTTACCACAACACCTAAAATCAGTTCATAAGGTAATATCTCATTTAATTTTCATTCAGAGTTGGGTTATCTAAATAACAAAATATTCCACCATACTCTACTTTATTACCACGTCTCGTCTTAACCTTTTTCATTACAACTTTTCAATTATACGCGTAAAGGATTTAATATGTTAATTTAAAAAATAATAGTTTAAAATGATTCATGATTCATTTTAATTATCATATACATACTACACATACCAAAAGATTTCTTAACAATTTTTGTTTGAATAATTTTTAGATTCAAAAAGGTGAAGAATACTTTAATCTCTTAAATTCAGCAAAGAAAATTTCTACAGAACTAATGCCAAAAAATATTCTGACTTCTCCAAAAAAACTATATGGACATTTACCAACTGATTTTACATTGAACAAAACAAAGAAGCTAAATCCATTTATAAAAATTGAACATAAAAGTTTTATTAAGGAGCTAACATATGAGTCATCAATAAATGATGAAGAGTCATTATCAGATAGTAAAAATACAGAAACCTCTTCTGATGAAGAATATGCAATACCTCTGCGTGATGATATTAAAGAAAAAACTTTATCCAACTATGTGGAAAATCTACTTAACCTATTTTTTAATTTTATGACTGGCTCCAACCGTGGATGCAAACAAAACTCAGTTACTGAAATTGTTCGAGATGTGAGACGAATTTTGATAGAAGTAGGTGCATATGAGGATATTAGCATTGCATTTGATAAAAATTTGGCTACTTTAGAAAAGAAGTACATCCAGGAGTATTGCAAAAAAAAGATAACTAAAGCAGGATCTATAAGAAAATATCTCTCTTCGTTTAGATGTTTTTGCCAATATCTTATGCGGCAAGACGAAGATTATAAAGTTGATATGAAACTATTAACAAATGCTGAATCTCAACTTAAGCAATGGATTCGGATTTATACAAAAAAAGCTCAAATATATAGTCACCAACGTAAGGCTGATGACATGGAAATGCTTATTGATAAAGAGCAAGTTGAGAAATATGAGAAAAGCAGCATTTTTAAAATGGCAGAAGATCTTTTTGAACAAAAAGAAAAGATTGGTATAAATACATCACTCAATAGCACTGATTATTGCATAATGAGGGATCATCTACTTGCAATTATAGCATTAGGATGCGCACAAAGACCAGGCGCTTCAATCAATATGAAGCTAAACGAATACAAAAAAGCTAAGCAACTTGACAATGAACATTTTGAAATAGAAGTGTGGGAGCATAAAACTCTTTTACATCATGGATCAGCTCGAATTATTTTAAATCAAAAAGAATTTTTGAAACTAAAAACCTTTGTGGAAAAAGTTCGTATAATGTTAGACCAACAAAAATCAAACAACATTTTCTTAAGTTGGAAAGGAAATAAACTATCATCTGGAGATGTTAGTAAACGATTACATAATTTATGGAAAAACTGTGGGAATTTTGAAAACAAAGCACCTATAAAAAACTTGACAGCTGGAGCATTTAGAAGATCAGCATCTACAGGTGTTCGTATACAAGGAAGCGTATACCAAAAAGAAGTAGCTGCACTTATGAGTCACACTAAAGAAACAGCTGATGAACATTATGAAATAATAGATAAAAGAAAAGCAGCATTAAAAGGTAGTAAAGAAGTAAGAAAAATGTTTCACTCAGTCATGATGCCCAGTGATATTTTAAAATCTTCACCTTTAAAAACAACAAATAACACACCAAGAAAAAAATGGTCTACAGAAGAAACAAATCTTTTACAAACGAATCAGAGTCCAATGCAAGATATTTTGAAAGCTGTGAATGCATCACCAAAACAAATTTATGATAAAATAAGATCATTAAAAAAAAAGGTAATTTGCTCATATAAAAAAAAATAGTAAAATAAGACCTTTTTCCTTAACTAGTTGTAAATCAAAAGTATTTATTGTTTAGGAGCACATTGAAGACAAAAAAAGCAGTGTAAAATCTCGAGTTAAATGGACAGAAACACAGAAACAAGAGTTGAGGGAAAAAGCAATAGAACTAATTAAGGATCCAGAAACAATAATAACTAGAAAAAACGTTGAACTTTTATTACCGAACTTAATGAAAAACTTTAGTTTTGTTCAAATTAGGACAAGAATCATGTATGAAAGACAGATTTTTAAAAACTAGACTTGAAAATCTACACACACACAGATATATATATATATATATATATATATATATAATATATATATATATATATATATATATATATATATAAAATAATTTATGTATTTGTATTTGAAAAGATGAAAAAAAATTCTTAAAATGACAAATTTCGATTCTATCACACACAAACACACACACATACTGATGCAAGCACACTGCATATGGTCTACACAGTGCTAACAAAGCATCTAAAAAAAAATAAATAAAAAAGTAGAAAAACTACAAAAAAAAAGTTACTTGTCAATTTTAATTTAAAACGATATAAAAATTTAATAACATTATTATAGGAAAAATATTTTCAAAAATATCAATCTATTTATGTGGGTATCTAAAAAAAAAAATTGAGTTTTTGCTTTAGTGGTACCCAATAGCTTGTGCACAAGTCATTTTGTATACACAATTCCATAGCCAGTTTATAATAATGACTTAAAACTTAATCAGGTCAAAACACATGTCAACTACTATGTGATTTGATAAGAGGGAAAGGACATTTTTCTAAACACTCTTTAACATATATTTTACTAAAAATTGAGGACTTATAAATATAGGGTGCTGATTTTTTACCGCAAACTTATCATATTTAATTATTTAAATTTCGTATCTACTTTTCCACAATATATAGCAATATATTAGGCAGCAGTTGTTAGTTGTGTTGAATAACACAGTTGTGTTATTCAACACAACTGTTAGTTGTGTTGAATAACACAACTAACAGTGTAGACTTCCAACTCTTTTGCTATTGTATTGTAGCTTTAAATTTTCAAAACATTTGTGGATATCTATTTCTCTAACCTCTTCTTATTTTGTCATTCTTGAAACTCAATTTATGTTAAATTAAAAAAACAACACCATTTTTTTAAAACTGAAAACAAAATAAATTCAAAACTAAAATATTAATACAAGCACTAAAAAAAAAAAAGATGTACTTTTTCTTTCACATTTATTTCACAAGCACCCTTTATATACATGACTTTTAAAATGACTTTATTTAAGCACTTTTCAGTACAAAAGCAACTAAAAAAACAAGATTTTTTTTTTGCTATAAAGAATAACTTTTTTTGTTGCCATAATATATATCTTTCAAGCATAAATACTACTTAAACAATAACTCAGAAAATATTTCAGTCTCAATAAATTCATCATTTATCGCATATATATATACACAACAAACACACATACTTATGCTAGCAAACTGCATATTGTCTGCACAGTGCTTATAAAGCATGTACATAAAATAAATGTGAAAGAAGAAAAACTACTAAAAAAAAAATATATTTAGCAATATAATAGGAGCAGTTATATATATTTAGGAATATAAAGACAGATAAAGACAAAAAAAAAAAAAAAAAAAAAAAAAATTAATACAACCACTGAAATAAAAAAAGTAGTATTGGATCTTTCACATTTATTTCATGAGCATCCTTTATATACTAGTGTTCATGACTTTTAAAATGCAGACTTTAATCAACCATTTTCAGTAAAAAAGCAATTAAAAAAAACAAGATTATTTTTTTGCAATAAATTTATTTTTTTGCCCTAACCCTAAAACTTTATTTGTTGCCATAATATATATCAAGCGAAACTACTACTTAAACAATAGGATATATGAACTGAAGCTGATCAATCAGTACAAAACATTCAGTTGCATCCAGCACTCGGGTTAAGGTCAACATTCATCAATGAGAGCATAAAAGTGTTTGAGGTCAGCAAACTAATGGCGACCTCATTTGTCCTAATTTCAAGGTTTGGTTGCATCTCATACAAATACAATATTAAAAAAAAGCCTACCCTTAGTAAATAATGAACACATTTATTTTACATCACAATTTAAATATAATTAATATAATTGCCTTATAGTATGCTATTTTGCCTCATAGACTATTAAACAATAATAGACTATTAAATAGTATTTATTGATCGTTATAAGATATACTTAAATAACCAATAAATAAATATATTATTTAACTATGAATTTAATTCAGCACTAAACATCAATTTCAACTCAATAAAAAAAAAAGTAAAAGTTTTTACAAGATATTAAGCTATTTTTTTATCAATAATATCCAAAACCAATAATTTCCAAAAAATCAATTTATCAATAATATCAATAATATCAAAATAATCAATCAATAATTTCCAAAAAATGAAAAAATTCTAAAAATTAAAAACAAAACAAAAAAAATATTCACAGCTCTTCTCTAGATCATAAAGTTTAAAACTTTTAGGCAGCCCTTTTCTAAATCAAAACTTGGCGCTTGGGCATTAGCTTTAAATTTTATACTTATATAATGCAATACAATACTTATATCAATCAACAAACAGTCCCTATAACTGTAAAAAAATCTTTATTGTCCTCTTACTATTTTGCCATTCTTCAAACTCAATTTATGTTAAATTAAAAAACAGAAACATTTTTATAAACTGTAAACAACTTACAATCACAAATAAAAATGATTTAATACAACCACTTGAAAAAAAGAAATATTTGTTCTTTCACATTTATTTCATGAGCATCTTTGCCTTATCTCTCCTGCTTCTACATTAATGCCACCTCTCTTAATCCATCAAAACTGATTGAACTCTCCTTACTTGCAGAAACCAATTTCTTTGATATTATTTTTATCACTGAACCACTTGAAAAAAAGAAGTATTTGTTCTTTCACATTTATTTCATGAGCATCCTTTATTTTATTTTTTTAAGTTATTTTACGTGCTCCCAGAAGTCTTTACGGTCTTATCACGGAGCACCGCGGAAAGGTATTTAACTAGAAGTTCACGCCTCCTTCCTTACCAATGTCGCATAGTTGGGCTAGAGCCGGCGTCGAACCTCTGGGTTACTGAGCCAAAACTCTAACCACTGCGCCACAGTTGCTCTAATAAAATATTAAAAAAAAAGAAGCTTATTTAAGTAAATAATGGAAATAGGTTATTTTACCTCATAATTTAAATATAATTAATATAACTGCCTAATAGTATGCTATTTTGCTTCATAGACTATTAAACAATAATAGACTAACTCATAGTATTATTTGATAGTAATAAGTTATACTTAAATAACTAAAAAATAAATATATTATTTAACTATGAATTTAATAGCATTATTCTAGTTCAATCTCCCTCAATGCTACAAACTCTTCAACTCATTTACCTTATCTCTCCTGCTTCTACACTAATGCCACATCTCTTAATCCATCAAAACTGATTGAAACCAATTTCTTTGATATTATTTTTATCACTGAAACATGGTTTACTGAAAAATCAACTCCCACTCTTTTAAACTATAACCTCTATCGATCAGACCGTCTCAACCGAAATGGAGGAGGTGTAGCCATCTACATAAACAACAAGCTCGTCTCAAACCAACTTGAAGATTTCCAACTATACAAAGATTTCATTTGCTACTATTCAGAACAACTGTGGATTGAACTAAAGCTTCCAAACAAAACTCTGCTTTTAGGCTGTATTTACAGGCCTCCATTTTTCTGGTACCAAAACCTTCTCTGAAATTTCCAATGCTATCTTTCATGCCAAAACAGCAATATTAACCAAAAAATACAATGGCATCATTATTGCTGGTGACTTCAATTTCCCAGAGATTACTTGAACTTTCAATTCTGTTATCTCCTCTACCAATATGGTCTCAGTTCATTGTTTATTTCTCTTGTTCAAGATCTTTATCTACATCAAATCATCACTGTCCCAACTTTCAAACCTGCTCATCATCCGATGACAAAAACTCTCGATCTTATCATTTGCGACTCTTCTGATCGTGCTAATGAAATCAACACCGATCCTCCACTCGGCTTGCCTGAACAGTATCATTGCTCCATCACTTGGCAATACAAACTGGCTTTTAGTGACAAATCGTCACATTTCAACAGCTCTAAATTCATTTACAAGCTTGGCAACTACAAAAAAATCAATGAAGAATTCAACAAAATTGACTGGTCATCTGTCTTTAAAAACTTAAACGTGGAACAATGTTAGCAGTTTTGGCTCAACAAATACAATGAATGCTGTCTTTGATTTATCCCATGTATGCCAAACAAACCATAACGCAAAAAACAACCATGGATGACAAAAGAACTTTTATCTCTGATTCGTCTTAAAAAGTCACTATGGGCCCTCAATGTCAGCTCAAAATGGAAAATTGTATCCCTGGTCCATGAATATAATCAAACAAGAAAGTTTGTCAAAAAATTAAGTCGTTCTTCTCTGAAATCCTTCGAACTTGCTCTGGCCAATGATAAGCGCAACCCAAAAAGACTTTTTTCATACATAAATAGTAAGCACTCTGTAATAAATCAGATCTCATCAATGCAGGTTACCAGTTTCAGTGAGATTATTAGCTCTGACAAAGTTACAATAGCCAACTCACTTAACAATCAATTTCAATCAGTTTTCAGCAAAGAGCTATCTGATGACAATCTTCCTTTCTTTAGTCGTCGAACCAACTCAATCATCAACAGCATAACATTTGACTCTCAGGCTACTCTCCTGGAGCTTTCATCTCTTGATCCATCCAAATCGCTTGGTGTAGACAGCGTCAGTCCTTATGTCCTACGCTCGTGTTCTACTTCCATGACTACTCCACTTACCCTTATCTTTCAAAAGTCATTTGACAATGGTGAAATTCCAAGCTCGTGGTCTAAAGCAAATGTAATGCCTTTGTTCAAGAAAGGCTCTCGAATCGATCCAGCAAACTACAGACCAGTCTCCCTTACCTCAATCCCATATAAAATAATGGAGAAACTTATCAAAAAAGCGATCATGATGCATCTAAGATTGAACAGCCTTCTTTCAAATTGTTAACATGGCTTTGTAGAGAAAAAGGCATGCGTCACAAATCTGCTTGAAACAATGAACTTTTTGACCGCGAACATGGCCAGAAAACTACCAGTTGATGTCGTATTCCTGGATTTTGCCAAAGCATTTGACAAAGTACCACATCAACGGTTGCTCTATAAACTAAAAATGTATGGAATCAAAGGAAATCTTCTTAATTGGATTAAAGCTTTCCTAACCAACAGATCTCAACGAGTTATCCTTGGTAACACTCAGTCGAATTGGTTACCAGTGACTAGTGGTGTTCTGCAAGGTTCAGTCTTGGGTCCAGTTTTATTTGTCATTTACATCAATGACCTACCAGATGTCTTAAGCAAAAAAAACATTTGTAAAATCTATGCTGATGACACTAAAATCCTCAGCGTTGTCAATACACTTGCAGCTCAGCTTCAACTGCAATCAGACATTGATGAAATTGTTCTTTGGAGCAAGTCTTCGCTCATGGAGTTAAACGTAAAAAAACGCAAAGTCATGCACTTTAGTCAAAAAAATTCAATTCCCTTCGAGTACTCAATGGAAGGAACTGGCTCTAATTCGATAGTGACGCAAACAAATTTGGAAAAAACCACCTCTGAACATGACTTGGGAATCCAAATTACTAATGATCTTAAAGTGGAAAGCCAATCCATCATCGCATCATGTAAAGCAAACCAAATGCTTGGTATTTTAAAACATACCTCCCATTGTCGTGATGCTTCTCTGTGGAAACAACTATACTCCACCTATGTCCGTCCTCTACTTGAATTTGCTACCTCAGCTTGGAACCCTCATTTGGTTAAAGACAAGCAAGTTATTGAGAAAATACAACACAGAGCCACAAAGATACCGCACAAATTAAAAGATTTAAACTATCAGTCTAGATGTGAAAAACTTGGTCTCACATCTCTAATTGACCGCCGTAAATGAGGTGACCTCATTCAGAAATTTAAAATTGAGAAAAACATTGACTTAATTAACTGGCATTTTCCTCCTATTACAATTCCGCCGAGAGCTAACCACAGAGAGAGATTTCACCGGGAACAATATAACTCAATTTAATTTTTTTAATAACCGAATTGCCAACACATAGAACAGCTTGCCAGATAATGTAGTCTACTCTTCATCTGTCAACAGCTTTAAAGCGAGACTTGATAGGCTTCAAAGTTACAACAGCTTGCAATTCCCTTTGATGGAAGTTGCATTATGAGCTTCACAAATGTTATCTATGATTTGACAATCTACATTTGTATTCTGTCATTTGTCTTTACATTTGTTGTAACAAATATATACTACTACTACTACTACTACTACTACTACTACTACTACTACTACTACTACTACTACTACTACTACTACTACTACTACTACTACTACTACTACTACTACTACTAATACAGCACTAAATAAAAAGTTAAACCTAATAAAAAAATAAAATAAAAGTTTTTAGCAGATATCAAACCATTTTTTTAAATCAATAATTTCCAAAAGATAAACAAATTCTAGAAATTAAAAACAAAAAAAATTATTCTCAGTTCTTTCCTCGATCATAAAGTTTAAAAGATTTAAGCAGCCCTTTTCTAAATCAAAACTTGACGCTTGGGCTTTAGCTTAAAATTTATATTTATATAATGCAAGACATTCCTCATATTAATCAACAAACAGTCCCTATAAATGTGAAAGAATCTTTATTGTCCTAAATCAGTCCCAGAAAAAAATTGACTCATAGTCCCAATCAGAATAAAAACCCAAATTCAAACGTTTAAAAATGTCCCAGGGGCAATTCAGTCCTCATTTATCGCAAAACAATCTATATATTAGCGCAAAACAATCCATATATATATATATATATATATATATATCTTCCAAGCATAAATACTACTTAAACAATAACTCAGGATATATACACTGAAGCCAATTATTTACTATAACATAATTAGTTGGATCTAGCCAACGGAATTGGTTCAGCATTAGGGCATTTCTAACCTAATAATATATGTGGCAGCAAAGTAATGCTGACCTCATTTTTCCTAATTCGGAGGGTTGGTTCCATTTCTTACAAATATAATTTTAAAAAGAAAAAAGCTGATTTATGTAAAAAATGGAAATCGGTTATTTTACCTCATAGTTTAAATATAATTAATATAATTCATCAGCCAATATTGTTGTTGTCGGTGACTTCAATGTTCATCACACTGAATGGCTTGGCTCTAGTGTCAGTGACTATGCAGGCATTAAGGCCTACAACTTTTGCCTCTCTCAATCCCTAACTCAAATAGTCAACTTTCCAACTCGCTTACCAGATAACCCAAATCATTTACCTTCTCTACTCAACTTATGTCTTGTTTCTGACCTAGTCAGTGCTCAGTTGCTCCACACTCACACTTAGGTGCATCCAATCATGGTTTGGTCTCTCTAAAACTATTATCTCATTCTTCTTTATCATCAGAATCCCCTTATCATTGTATATCTTACAACTACTTTAAAGCTGACTAGGACTCTTTCCGTGAATTTTTTCGTGATAGCCCAAGGGTAAAAATCTTTCGTCTTCCTATTGACAAATGTGCTTCTTACATAACTTCGTGGATTCAGGCTGGCATGTAATCCTTTATTCCCTTTCGATGATTTCAGGTCAAGCTTCACTCTTCTCCATGGTTTTCCTTGCATTGTGCTGCTGTAATAGCCAATTGAAACCATTACTTCCATATCTATCAACAAAACAATTCTCCAGAAAACAGACGCCTGTTTATTACTGCTAGGAGCCATTGTAAAAAGGTTTTGTCTAACGCCAAAGCCCGCTATTCTCAGATCATGAAATCTCGTATTTCATCACAAAAGTTAGGCTTTTGCGACTTCTGGAGAATCTTTATTAGTATCAATAATAAGGGCAAGTCTGTAATTCCACCTATTTTGTATGGTATTGAGATATTGTCTCCTCACCAAAAGACAAAGCTGAATTGTTTTCTAAGAACTTTTTATCAATATCATCTCTTGACTCAATTAGTTGCGTTCTACCTGATATAGCCAAAAAACAGGTTGATGCATTAGTTGA